AACTGCTACTGTCACTGTATTCCTAAAGCTTTTCAACTGAACTCTCCTTTTCTGTGCTCTTTGTTTGCAAGTGAAGTGGCTATTTATATCTGATTATAAAACTGTTTATATGTCTATACTGTTTTCAGAAAAGCAAAGGATAATAATATTAGAATCATCATCCTTTTGTGCTCCTTTTTATGCTTGAGATAGACTTCAAAATGATCTTTTAGGCTGAAAGCTTTTTAAAATTTAAAATTTTCTGTTAGTTGAAAGAAAACCAAATCTAAAAAGAATATATTTATAAATGGATTTGTTATCTGCTTTGAAACTTTTTATAACTTAAAATTGGTCTATAATAGTAATTATTAAATATCATTGATTTTCAGGTAATTCTATTTCATTTCTTGCCAGGCTTGTCACTTTAAGGCTCATCTATTTAAGTACTGTGAAATAATTAGCAGTCTACAACATATTTCCATAATAGATTATAGACCATAGTAAATTTCAAGGCAAAGAGTGAACCAAATATAAATCTTAAAGTTATTGTAAGATTTAAAATAAAATAAAGGAATTTTGTGAAGTAATTAGGTTTTTTTTGTTTTTGTGGAGTTTTTTGGAAGTGACTTTGGACTTTTGCATATTGACAAAGAGTACTTCCTTGCTAGGAATTCATTTTATCTATTTGGAAATTGATAAAGCAGGAAAGTGTATTTGTCTTTGGTAGTTTGTGAATAAAGATATTTTTAAAAAGTACCCTTTGTTCACATCAGATAAAGGACTGTCATCCAGAATATATGGAGAACTCTTAGAGCTCAACAAGAAGAAAGCAAACAATCTGATTGAAAAATGGGCCAAAGACCTTAAGAGATAACTCACCTAGGAAGATGGCATGTAACCATATGAAAAGATGTCCCGTATCATATGTCATCACGGAAATGCAAGTTAAAACAACAATGAGATACCACTATGCACCTATTAGAATGGTCCAGGTCCAGAATACTAGCAGCACCAAATGTTGGCCAGGATGTGCAGCAACAGGAACCCTCATTCATTGCTCCTGGGAATGTGAAATGGTGAAGCCACTTTGGAAGACATTTTGGCACCAGTTTCTTATAAAACTAAGCATACCTTTACCCTATGATCCAACATTCATGCTCCTTGGTATTTACCCAAAGGAGCTGAAAACATTAAGTCTGTACAAAAACCTACATACAGATGTTTATAGCGACTTTATTCATAATTGTCAAAACTTGGAAGCAACAAAGATGTTCTTCAATAGATGAATGGATGAATAAAGTGTGGTATACCCAGAAAACAGTATATTATTCAACACTGAAAAAAAATGATGTATTAAACCAAGAAAAGACAGAGGAACCTTAAATGCATATTACAAAGTGAAAGAAGCAACTCTAAAAAGGCAGCCTACTGAATGATTCCAACTATATGACATTCTGGAAAAGGCACAGAATTGTGGTAAAAGTAAGAAGATCAGTGGTTGCCAGGGGCTGGGGGACAGGGAGAATGGTAGGGGGACATGGAAGAACGAGTAGACAGATTACAGAAGATTTTTAGTGCAGTGAAAACAGCTTGTATGATATCATAATGATGTATGCATGTCATTATATGTTTGTCCAAACCCATAAAATATATACCACTAAGAGTGACTCCTAATGTAAACTATGAACTTTGAGTGATAATGATGTGTCAGTGTAGGTTCATCAGTTATAACAAATGCACCACTTTGGTGGGGGATGGCTGTGCATGTGTGAGGATAGGCGGTATATGGGAAGTAACTTCCACTCAGTTTTACTATGAACCTAAAACTGCTCTTAACAAATAGTCTTAAAAACAAGTGTGCAGTCCTATGCAGTAGACTCTCTTCCGTGTGTTACACCGAGAAGTGCTGTTCACACAGGAAATTAGAGGTAGGAGGTGGACCTGAAGGTTGGAGAGAAAGTTTCATGGGCTAGGCTTTAGATGAGTCTGAGAGGTGAAAATAAAAAAGGCCTTGTCCACTTACAGGTATCTTTTTCACATAGAAGGGATTTTTGGGGCCAACTACTTTTTTTTGTCAACAGTCTTTGCGATAGGCTTTGGTCCTGTGCTGCTCAAGTGCTCTTCCCTGCTAGGTCTAAGTGGAGGCAGCTGCACAGGAAGAATCCTCTCAAGTAAGGTAGCTGTAGAGCAAGTTATTATATGTAATACAAATTATTGAAGATTATATTTCTTTCCAAGCTATCTGGAGGGTGTTAATAGGTGTACTTCTAAAATAAGTGTTCTGGGGTAATATAAGTAAGAGAAAGAAAATAAAGCAGATTTTTAAAAAAGTGTATGTATGTGTGTACATGTGTACACAATGCTAAGTGCATTGTACATTCAGTAGAGGAAGGTAAAATATACAATATTTCCCAAATTTGTTTGTCAATGGAACCCTTTTGTCATATATGCTTACTAACATCCAGAAACAATGTTAGAAGTAGCACATTTCATAAGATTCTACTTTAGATTAATGGGTGGAATAACAAACTAAGGAATTGGTTGCTTATATGAAAGGGAAGAACTTTTGTTAATGAAGTTTCCCTAATTTAAATGGTAAAAACATTTCTCAAATACTCAGATTTAACTAATTGGATACAAATTAATTCATCTTCTGTGACTTCTCAAGCATGAGCTTTAAGTTGATTTGATAAACCAAGTAATCATCTTTTGGTTTTGCTTTGACTAAAATCAGTTGTTAAAAATCATGATTAAATGTAGAGAAAGAACACTGTCCTCAGTACAACCTTCTGCAGTAATAGAAGTCCTCCATAGCTGTGCTGTCCTGTATAGGACAGTGTGCTTGTCCAGCTGCCACTAACTACATAAGGTTATTCAGCATTTTAAATGTGCTAGTGCAACTAAGGAGCTTTAGTTTATTTCCTTTTCATTAATTTAAAGATAAATTATTGCACGTAGCTAAGTAGCTGTTGTATGGGACAGTGCAGTCTGTAGAATATATTTATAGACTAGGGCATTTTTCATAATGTTTATTTTAAATTGATGTGACTAAAATGTAACTACTTCTTGGGGAATATTTTTTTGAAAAGTTGAGGCTATGATGAATATACTCAAATAGTTTAAATGCATGTAACTCTATAGTCACATGATTGAGTATTCTTCCAGGGTTTTGCCCTTTTAAAAAACTACATATTTTACTAGCTAGATTTCAGGAACATAAATATTCTTCTATAGTTAGTCTTTATCTCTTTTGTATGACTAATACTACATTCTGAAATAATTGAATAGGTTTTCACATTCAGTTTTAAGCAGAGAATGGTAATGTGGAGAAAGAAGATACTCTGAGGTAAAAGACCTCAAATTTAAATCTGTTTGCCAATGGCATGCTTGGCAATATTAAGGCAGTCTTTGCAAAGGTTTTTTGACTATTGATTTATCTCTAAGTTAGAGGTACAGTTTATGTAAATGTCCTCGAAAAAGTTAAAGCTGTACAAAGTGAAAATAGTGTTTTAAATGTAATTTTTGAATAATTATGGAAATGCCAGAAATCTTACTCATTTTCTATGAATACACTTTTAAATTTTAAATATTGTGAACCTTAATCATTTTATTTTTGCCAAGATTAATGCTTGCACTTACAGGAAAGGTAAAAATATTAAGGCACATAAAGTTTCAAAATAAAAGTTTGACTAAAACTGTCATAATTGAACAATTTTAAAATAAATGGAATATTAAAGATACGACTACTTAGTGGGGGCTACTTGTTTTCAGAGTAGTTTGTCTATCTAAGACTGAATTTAGAAAATTTTAGTAACAATAGTTCTTTTTAAGCAGCTTATTTTAACATATTGATTCCTCTTATCCTTGCCCTTGCCAATAGAATACAATATTTCACTCTCTCAATTAGAACTAAACAGCTTCAATTGATATTTAAACTATTTAAGCAATTTATTTGTATTTTTATTCAACCATCATTCAATTGTTATGGATTTAATTTTGGATTATCATTTAAGAGGTGGTAATTATTTTAAAAGTTTTCCACAAGCATTTTCACTTGCATAAAGTAGAACTGAAGGCTTCTACATAAAAAGATGTAGACACAGGGACAACCTCAACATCAGAGATGATTTGTTCAATATGTAACAAAGATAATTTTTCAAGCTATATTTACTGTGATAATCATTATCCGTTGTTTGTCTTTAGATTGTGGCTTTTACTTTCCCTAATTTGTATTACACTGGGTCTTCTCATATGTTAAGGATGATATTTTAATATTGGTTGATTTTTAGTACAATTACTAAAAAGTCTTGCCATTTGGGATTTAGTGTGTTGCATCATATTTGGCTATAGTGTGTATTACTGGTTAAATCATCGAAAATGAAATTTGAGGTAAAAACAATTATGTTTTTCTGACATTTAGCTCATTTATTTAAAGATATATTCCTTTAGATTATAGTTTTATTTAACTTTATCTTTTTCATGTCTACAATAACTTGGTATTCCTATGTAAAGATGCTTGATGTTTTTCAAAAAAAGATACTATCTTTCCTGAGTATAGGAAAAGTAGTACAGTCAGCCCTCTAGCTAGCTAGATATTTGACATGTAAGTCATCCATAGTCCCACTGATGCTGAGCTAGTTCTGTTGATCTTAAGTCTATTTAGTAGAAATACCATTTCATTTCATATTTATTTTGGCTATTACCTTGAAAAAAATCAATATGTATATCATAGTTCTCTTTGAGTTTGCTAACTTTTAAGTTATTAGTGTTGATGTGAAAAATCAAATGTTTTGAGTAACATTACTCCAGAGACATGTTAGATTGATAATGTCTAATTCAGAATATGGCAGAATGTTTTCAACATTTAACAGGGTCATGAAAATCTTAGCATTTAAAGGATTTTAGTGTTTAGTATAGCCCCCTTGACTGTTATGTGCTAAGATTTTGAAATCTGTTTGAGTTGCTCTTAGATTAAGGAGCAGAGACAAAATTCCTAATTTTGTATTTTGCTTTTTTTAAAGACACCTAGCTGTTGGGCAGAAGAGGGAGCTGAAAAGAGATCACATCAGCGGTCTGCATCATGGGGGAGTGCTGATCAACTTAAAGAGGTAAGTTATTTCTATTTTCAGTCTACAGGCATACCTTGGAGGAGCTGCGGGTTCAGTTCCAGACCACTGCCAAGAGTATTGCAATAAAGCAAGTCAGATGAATTTTTTGGTTTCCCAGTGCACATAGAAGTTGTGTTTACACTATAGTCTATTAAGTGTGTAACAACATTATGCCTAAAAAAAATAGGAGTGCCTTAATTTTAAAAGATTTTACTGCTAAAAAATGTTAGCCATCATCTGAGCTTTCAGCAAGTTATAATCACTGATCACAGAGCAGCACAACAAATACAATAATAATGAAAAAGTTTGAAATATTGCCAGAATTACCAGAATGTGACATAGACACAAAGCAAGCAAATGCTGTTGGAAAAATGATGCTGATAGACTTGTTCATGCAGGGTTGCCACAAACCTTCAGTTTGTAAAAAATGCAGTATCTGCAAAGCTCAATGAATTGAAAGTGCAATAAAACGAGGTATGCCTGTATAACCTATTTAGGTCCTAGTAAATTATCTTACTATATCCTGACTGTAATGGTACTTCCTTTATTTGTACTAACATTACCTCTTACAGGACTTTAAGGACTTACAGAGTTTAAGGACTCCCTTGCACATTTTGCTGAACAAGTCTGAATTTACCTTATCTGTGCCCTTTAGGTCCTTTATAAACACTTGATATGCACCCACTCAACTTTTCCCTTTCCGGAATGAAGTCTGATTTTTTTGTAGCAATCTCTGTATCTTGTGCATTTTAGTTATCTTTTGTTTCCACTTCAGCTTTCCAATTTTTGAGTTATAGCAACCAAAACCATGGATCACAGCTTTCCACAGTGGTTGGATAGTGTCTTCTGGTCCTAATGGCTTTTTTATGATATCCAACATTTCATTTCCCTTTAGACCCAATAGTACAGTAGAATTCATGTCTTTTAGAAGTAGTTTTTAATGACCTGTTCCCTTATTTGTTACGAATAACCTAAATGATTACAACCTTTATGAATATTTTGGATTATTTTTCCTGAAGTTATCTTTTATCCATTTACATTCTTACAGTTATTATAAAATTATAGAAACTTACTTAGAAAGTTATCTAGTCCATCTCCTATATAAACACTCCTTAAAAAAGATGGTCATCTAAGGCTGTGATGATCATTGTCAGTGAGAGAAGCTCATCACTTTGCAAGAGGATGCAGCCAGTCTGTTTTAGCCTAAGTTGTTAAACAGTTATATGCTGTATATTGAACTCAAAATTATGCCCCTTAATTTTGACTCTGCCCTCTGTATCAATATTGAGTAAGTCTATTTTAAGTATTTGAAAGGCTAGTAATGTCATTTTTCCCCCAGGATAAACAGTGACATCTCTTTCAAATATTTTTCATATGGCATAGTCTTTACACCTCTTACTATGATTTCATATACTATGGGTTATTACTCTCTCTCATATACTGTGGTGTCTGGACTGAATTGATATAGTCTGTAGCATGATTTTGCCTGTGACTGTATTACATTTTTAGTAGCTTCTTTATATTATTGATATAGAGAAATCCTCAACTCCTGTCTACCTTACACACAAATTCACATGCACAAAATCAGTTTTTCCTAGCAGTAGCAAAAAAGGAATCTGAGTCTAATATATCTGGTCTAAATATAGGTGCATATGTATGCATACAATATGAATAACAGAAAAGTTAACTTGCAATTTTATCTCAGAGATAAACACAATCTCCAAGTTATAGCCAAGATTTGTTATAGTAGAACTTCAGACTATAGCAACACTGTTTAAACAATAAATGGCTGACATGACTGAGAGAGAGTTGATTGCTCTTCCCACAAAGCAACCATAAAGCTGGACAAAACTGTCCAAACAACTAATTTAGTGCTCTGGAAATCAACCAAACAAACAGAGAAACTTTATTCATGTAAAGCACTGAACTCAGGGTAAGAATGACTTAAGTTTGTGGTGTTCTTATCTAAGATACTCCTCTTCACTTCATCCTCCTCCTTAGCTTTGTTGGTGTGGCATTTCAACCACGACGGGGCAAGCCTTAAAGACCAGAAGCTTGGCTGGCCCTGCTGGAGAGAGCACTTGATAAAGAGTGTTGTAGATATTTTTAAATAGTGACCTTACTTACAAATAAGCAGGGAGAGCCAGTGGCTCTGCTAGTCTGAGGCTGGGGTCTAATTTTGACAAGTAACAGACTTATGGAATAGCAGAATATTACAAGAGTTCTAGAGGTAAGACAGTTACGTGAGCTAGATAATTTCACATATCCCAGGTTGATTGGAGGCTATGGACATGCTCAGCAGAATGTGAAGTGGGCCTAAGCCACCCACATATCATTCATCACTGGAGCCTAAGAATATGTGGAGAGGAGATTCAAGAAGGCCTGGTGATAATAAAATCTTGGGCTGACTTGTAAAAGACCCAAACTTTGAATGTACTGCTCATTCTACATGCAAATCTTATTCTGGGGGCAGAAGCCTTACTGGATTGAGATGTTTAATAAAGTCTCTGTTTTTGGCTCTCAACAATAAGATGAACACTAGAGACCAGCTTAAAGGTCTTAAAAAGCCAGCCTTAGAAAAAAAAATTAGGAAAAAATATAATGGAATGGAGACATTAGTGGCCATACATTGCAGGAGAAACAGACTTTTGGTCGATTAAGTTAACTAAGAAACAAGCAGATAAGGCAGCAAACAGCCCTCAGGAAAAATCAGAATGTAGAGTTGGTACAATGTATTACCTAAAATGTCTAACATTCAACAAAAAATTTAGAGATATGCAAAGAAACAAAGTACAAACTGTACTCAAGGAAAAAAGCTGTCAATAGAAACTAAGTATCTCCATATGTTGGATTTAGCAGACAAAACATCAAAGCAGCTATTATAAGTATGTTCAGAGAACTAAAGGAAACCATGTTTAAAGCATTAAAGGGAAGTAGGACGACAATGACTCAATGAGTAAAGAATTTCCATAGAGATAGTTATTATAAAAAGACACAAGCAAAAACCCTGGAGTTAGAAAGTATAGTAACTAAAATTAAAAACTCACTAGATGGGTTCAGTAGCAGATTTGAGATGGCAGAAGAATAAGTGAATTTGAATATAGGTCAATAGAATTTATACGTCCTGAAAAACAGGGAGAAAAAGTCTGAAGAGAAGTCAGAGAGCCTCAGGTGCCCATGGAGAAATATTAACCACATACACAAAATGGGAAACCCATGGGAGGAGAGAAAGAAGTTTTAAAATATTTAAAGAAACAATGGCAGAAAACTTTCAAGATGAAAAGCAATCTGTAGGCTCCAGAAGTTCAGCAAACTCCAAGTAGGAAAACACAAAGGGAACCACACATAGATGTATCGGTTTGACTCTTGAAAGCCAAAGGAAAAGAGGTAATCTTGAAAACTGGAAGAAGAAAATGATTCATTACACATAGGGTACCAATAATACCTTGAATGGGTGACTTCATCAGAAACAACGGAGACCATAAAACATGACATCTTCAAAGTGCTGAAAGAAAAAAAACTGTTAGTGTTCCATATCCAGGAAAACAAGTCTTCCAAAATAAAGGTGAAATAAAGTATTCCCAGATAAACAAAGATTTAGAGAATTTCCTGCTACTAAACTGTCTTACAAGAAATGGTAAAAGAAGTCCTTCAGGCTGGAAGGATATGACTCCAGATGTTAATTCAGATCCATAGGAAGAATTGGGGAATATTTGGTATGATAAATATGTGAGCAAATATAAAAGAGTCTATAGATATATTTTTCTTATTTGTACATGTATTTAAAAGATCATATAAAACAGTATTGTAACTGTTATTGGGTTTATAACATATGTACATGAAATATATTTGGTAGTAATAACAAGGGCAAAAAAAGAACTGTATATTGGAGTATAAGTTTTACTTTACTAGAATTAAGTATTATTTTGAAGTAGACTGTGATAAACTAAGATGCATATTTTAATCCCTAGAACAGATGCTGAGAAAATAACTGAAAAATAGAGTAAAAAAAAAGTCACAGAAGGATTAAAGTGGTACACTAAAAATACTTAACACAAAAGAAAACAGTAAAGGAGGAATAGAATAAAAAAAGATGTGACACAAGTAGAAAGTGAATGGCAAGATGACAGAAGTAAATCCGTATAAATAAGTACATAAAATGTGAATGAACTGAATGTTCTATTCAAAAGGCAGCAATTGTCAGACTTGATCAAAAAGTAACATTCAGCTATATGCTGTCTATAAGCAGACACAAATAGGTTGAAAGTAAGAAATGGGAAAAGATACACAATGAAAACAACAGTAAAAAGATACAGATAGGTTGAAAACAAAAAAAAAGGGGAAAGGTACATAATAAAAACAGTACAATAAGAAAGCTTATCAGACAAAATAGACTTTAAAATAAGAAAGTACTGAAGCCAAATGAGACATTTCATAATGATAAAAAAGGTCAATACATTAAGACAGTGTAACAATCATAAGTTGTGTATTCAACTAACAGTCCCCCCATGAAACAAAATTGTGAAAGGAGAAATTCAATACCTTATTTTCAATACTTGATAGAACAACTACTAGACAGTAAATCAGCAAGAAGATAGAAGACTTCAGCATTATCAGTCAATGTTACCTAACTGACAAAAAATAGAAAACTCCCAGTAACATGTTATTTTCAAACATGTGTGAAACATTCTCTAGGTTATACCATATGCTGGGCCGTAAAACAGGTCTCAGTAGGTTACAAAAGAATGAAATCATAAAACAGAAAGAAATCTTGAAAAACCCAAATGTTTGTCAATTAAATAACACTTTTCTAATAACACAAGGGGAATTTTTTAATATTTTAATGAATGAAACCAAAAGGACAACTTAGAATTTATGTGCGCAGCTAACACAATGCTTCATCAGTACCTAGCTTCCATCTTAAAAAACTAGAAAAAGAAGAGCAAACCAGATTAAAAGCAAGCAGGGAAAGAAGGTAACAAGAAGAATACAGCAGAAGC